TTCTCTGCCCGTGGCAGGGGGGTTGGAACTAGATGATCTTTAAGGTCCCTTCCAACCCTAACCATTCTGTGATTCGACGATTCTATGAATCTTGGAAGCGGGGCTGCTTCAGGTCTTTATTGCTACTGTCTGAATTACTCCGACTGAATCTCTGTTTATTACTGAAGGCAGAAGATCAGGAAAAGAAGTTTGCATCAGGGTTAAATAGCCTCCAAAGAAGTTCTTAGACTGGGATATATTAATGATTATTTTTCAGACCCATATTATGCAGTTAAAAATCACGTTATTGGAACCTATCAATAAAAGGTTTTCCTATCTTGGGAAACGTGTTTCTACTTAATGCAAATGAAAATAAATGGTTTAATTCCAAATAATTCTTTGTGCCTCTCAGATAATCAATGCCTTATAAAAATCCAAGGGAGAGCTGCCAAGTCAAGTAATTCACAGAGGTTTAGTGTGAAAATTACTTTGTTTATTTTGGTTGCAGGAAGCTATAAACTACTGGTTTGGTCATTTCAATCCTGGAAAAGGAGCACAACTTTTATACTTATTTTTGCATTTTAAATCTGCATATTAAAAATACCAAGGCCTGAATTTTCAGAATTACTGTATTGAAGAAACCTACTTTCAAATAGTAGATTCTTAGCATGTTGTGAAAATCATTCCATTTCCCAGTTAGATACTTAAACTTATTAGTAATTTTGGAGAACGGAGGCCTAAGGAAAAGTGAGTAGATTATTTTCTTTAAATGTAAGGTTTATGTTAAAGTCAGTAGGTGTCCAGGGAGTGTGGATGCCTGTTGCATATTCAGTAAATTATTTTAAAATTACTTGTTCATGTTTCTCAGCAGGTCTATTTCTTGATCTTTTTTTTTCTGTAATTTGATCTTTGCTAATCAAGGTACTTGCTGTAAGAGAAAACGAATGTGCTCAAGGATCATTACTAATAAATGTCTACTTCTAGGGGATGTTCTTAGGATTAGTGGATCAGAACTAAATAGTTTTCTAACAAGGTGAAGCACAGCTCTCTTTAGTATTCATTATGCAGAAAGCAGATAAATACTCCTTTTATGTTAAATCTTATACATTTTAAAGCCAGAAGAGAACATTGTGAAGAAATAGTTAACCACTGACTACTGCAGCCGTAAGACTTGATTGAATTGGACCCAGGCTGTGTTGTTGAAATGATCTGGATTGTTCATTTTACAAAAACATCCACACTGAATTCATAAAATATCTGCTTATGGAGACTGTAAACTTTTCGTGTGTCTAGATGTCATTAGCAGTAGACTTCATGCACTACTTACAGTGTAGTGTCTTTTAATTTTAACTTTCATGTGCTGACTCTTGTTCTGTCTATGTGTGGGTTGAAGAGTCTGGTTCATCAGACTCTGATTAAGTCATCTTGTCACAGTCGAGTAAGCTTCTCTCCACTGCACATTCTCCACGTTCCTGTGTTTGAGTTGACTACATTAGACTGTAATGTCCTGAGCTTCTTGAATGTGATGAGCCTCAGCACGTGCATGTTTCTTACCATTTCCTGACATAGGTTGCAGTGACGAGTTTCAGTGAGCTACCTCTTTGTGAAAGTATGATCACATGCACAAGTACTCTGGTCTCTACAGTACATGCCAATTGCTTGGTCCACTGCCAGAGTCTCAACTTGGTGGGAACTCTAGGATTATAGTTCAATTATACTAAGGAACACAACTTACCACTTGTGTACATGGCCTTTTCTCTGAATAATACAGAAGAAATGGTTCTTCTCATTATTCTCCTCCTGTGGAGGCAAAAATAATCACTTCCTGTGGATATGCCTTCCCCCCCCCCAATTATAGTGTCTCTCTTTTCCTTCTGTTGTTTAAACTTTATTTGTGGACTTCTTATACCAGTTGCTGGTTTTGAATAAAGTAGCAAAATGTGGTTTCTTTATTCTGCTTCTGCGGAAACTCTGAACTCCAGCCTATCCCACAGAAGTTGGAGCATACTGTTGCACAGGATTCAGCTGTCCAGTGTTCTCAAAAGTCTTCTACTTGAATGGAATTGTTGAGGTTAATGACTGTGTATGGTTAGCCATCTTCAGAAATGTCCTTCTAAGGAAGGGGAAGGGTATGGCATCTAATCATTATTAGCCAGCTGGACTCAGTTGAATATAATGAACTAATTAACTAATCAACTCAAGGTACCGATCCTGCCTACAAGAGGCAGGCCATTTCCTCCTGGCTGTGGAAGATGCAACAGCGTCCTTGGTGCCGCAGCCCAGGCTAGTGAGCAACAGAGGGGCAACTCCATTCCACATCTGAAATAGAATTTGGAGTCTCTCTCAAAAGCATATACAGACATGTATGGATTTGCCTGTGACAAGAAGAATTCCTCCTTAATATATACTGTCCCCAAAATTGTCATGGAACCCTTGGTCTCTCTTTGTCAAGTTACACAGGTTACTCCTATTGAATGTTTCATTCAAAAATATATTTTCTAATTCTCATGTCATTTACCTACCTTTGTGATGATCCCTATACCACTGGTAAGTATCTCTGATATACATGTTGGAACGCTATCATCACTTATGAAAGCACACATCGATGCTGAAGGTAGAAGCCACAGATGTTCCCTAGTCCTACTGATAAACTCTCTTTATGGATCCAAGCACCTTATTATTCCTCAGACACAGTATGGCATTAAAGCTAATGTTAAACTGATTATCCATCATGTCCCTCCAGTCTTTTTCCAGACTCAGCACTTCTCAGGATTGAGATTTCTCCACCTGGTATAGTCTTTGTTAGATCAATAAACTTGTATTTGGTTGCACTGGAAGAAATCTTTTTTTCATTTGTTTGTATGTGCTTTTGTTGTAAGCAGCCTATTAATTGATCCAGTACACTCTGTAGCAGGGACCTCTGTCTTTTCACTATTTATTACCCCTTGAATCATTGTCTCTTGCAGATTGTATTGGCAACTGTTTTATGTTTTCTTTTATGTCATCAATTAAACAATAAAATAGCACAAGATCCTGGTGCAATCCTGCTAGATACACACCCATTCAACTAAAATTTCCCATTTAACAGTCCTGTTTTGAGGCCTCCGAGGTTTGTGTTAACTCTGTTTAGTGTTACGAGCAGGCACTGGCTTCTGCACCCTCTGATCAAAGCAGTGTGGTGTACCAGCTAGACGGCTCAGCCAGGCCACAAACAACTACCACATGTGCTGTGGTCTTTTCTCAGCATTTTCTAATTAGGGGAACATGTCAACCCTGACCTACACAAGAGAACAGATTTTGTACTGTTTCACCGTGTGCAACAAGCCACATATCCTCTACCTGTCAGAAAGGGCAGAATTTGACTTAGATTACTGGAGAATGTTCATCATCATTTGTAATTGTGAAAAAGCTCTATTTCCTTTGAACCCCTAAGTGTGATTGAGAAAAAGGGTGAATTCAGAATTCATTGCTGCCGCTGATTTAGTAAGATGCCCTGACTTGATTCTTTCATTTGATTCTTGCAATTTTATCTCATTTACAGAAAATCAGGTTTATCCATCAGGGAGCTGATGAGCGAACGTGGCCTGTCTGTATTTATCAAAATAAACTATAGAAAAAAGACATTTGTGCATGGAAATGTGTCTAGTGTGGCCTATCGACAGCTGAAGTACTTTGAAAAATGAAAATTCCACCATATAGGTCATAATTCTTCCAGCCATTTTAGTTTTGTCAGCAATTCTAGATCACTGAAAACAGCCAAGAATTAAATTGGAACAGTCAAGAAGTTGCATAAAAATCTTGGAAGAAAATCAAGTTAATTTGGGTCCAAATATTATCCTCAAAATCTGAATTTTCTAAATCTCACCTTCCAGTGTGCACAGCTTAAATTAATGTAGACTTAATATGGTACATAAAAAGAGATTAAAAAATCATTTGTGTGGATCACTACACAAATAAGTTGTCTTTCTGTTTCTGTGTTAATATTTTCTCTGCATCAGGTCCATAAGGAAAGCAGACTTGACCTTTTTTTGCCTCATTTTCCCATAATCATTTTTGTTATTTAAAGTTCCTATAACTGTATTCAGACCACTTTAGTCATTCTTCCACTTTCAAGTTGCATTTTTAGCAGTATTTTTGTAATGATCAGAAGGGTGATAGATGGTCTATACAGTGCAAAGGCACCTGAAGGAGCTCTGGATATGCCAGCACTGGGGCTGCGAGGAGGCCTGGTTCTTGGCAGTGATGATTGCCCAGGAGGCACACTGTTGATGCGATTCTGCTCCTTGTGAACCTTTGCTGGATTAGTGTGTTCAAGCGGCATTGCAACTGCCATTAATTTTGTCAGTGTTGCAAATAGCGTGCAGCACGTTGGTAATTTAAACGTGCTTCTCAAGTGGATGTCAGGTGAACAAAGACTTCAAGTTCATTTTTTAAATGCTTTATCCACAGCTTGCAACTCAATTCAGTGCACAACTCTGGCATTTCCAAATGCAAATGTGACATGGTTGTTTGTTGTTTATTTTTTTGTAAATATACATGACCTGACCTTAATGTTGGTTGTTAGAGCAGGCTCTAAAACAAAATTCTGGCCTCACTTAAACTGTATCAGTTTTACTGTCACCTTCCACAGTCTTCCCATGTTCTGATACTCATTTTGCAGTTGCGCAGCAGAACTCCTGTAGCCTTTGATATGGAATCTGTTTTCTTGTTTGCAAGAAGATTTTTTGTATTTTTTAATTTGATGCATATATTTCAAAAGTCACAGTTCAGATATTTAGACTTCCGTACTTCTGGCATGTTGCAATACAATTTAGAATTTATCTAGGCTCTCTGGGTTTATTTCTGACTGCATACCATAGCTCAGCGAGTTGTTGCTGTTAGCTCATTTATACTTCTGTTTGTCACCAAAAGCTTTCTTTTGTTTCCAGGTTTGGCAAGAAATCTCGACCTGCAATGTATGATGCAACTCCCATTGCTTATGAAGATTACAGCCCAGATGACAAACCTTTGGTTACACTGATTAAGACAAAAGATTTGTAATCTAGTGTATCTTTTTTGGATTATTTTTCAAAAGGATGGGCTACTAACCTAATTTAAATATTTTTAAGAAGAAAGCATAAGTAATTTAAACCATTAGATGCTTCAGAATTTTCTGTAGAATATTTAAGAACCAATTTTCTGCAGCTTTTAGTTTGGAAAAATATTTTAAAACAAAATTTGTGAACTTCATAAGTTACATTTTAATGTACCTTGAGCTCTAGAAACTATAAGCTTATGATAGTGTGTGCTTTTTTCTTGGTAGACACTATTACTAAACCCAGATGAGTTTCTTGTGGTTGTTACAGAACAGAAAACAGTAATTAATGAGGAGTTCTTTATGACATGTCAGTGCCAGCTTTCTCAGTAGAGGTAGGAAAAATGTGAAGCATAATATGATATATAATATATCCATTAATTAAAAAAGTCTAAAATGTTTGTGTTGTGAAAAAGAAACTAGTAAAAATTATTATTCCTAATCTGAATGAATTAGCTTTTGCCTTATTCCATGCATGGATAGATAACCTATTTCTCCATTATTTCCTGAAAGTTGCTGAAACATACTCTTGAGTTGATGTTTGACATTTTTGTAATAGTATTCAGGCTAGGCCTTGTATAATAATTAAAGTGCCTCTTGAGGCAAAGTAAGGGCACGATCCTTTAAACATTGAAATCAATGTGAGAACTTCCATTGGCTTCAGTGGGCATGGGATTGGATCCTATAATTGGACTGAATCTATATTTTTCTTTAAAGGTTAAAGTTTTTTATATTGTGAGTAAACTAAGCATATGATTTGAGTTTGTTTCCTAAAGGTTGTTGATGTACAGTATTGGTTCATGAAATGTGTATTTCTCATAGTGCTTCTTATTTAGGATCAGTATGGGGTTTTTGTGGCTGTATTTGATTGCTTATGGGCTTCTTAAAATTCTTGCTTATTTCAGAAAATATTGAATAAATGTTATCAAGTGAAGATTGCAGCCGTTTCTTTGTTTTTCTTCATTTGAAAGTGCAGTGTTGTCTTTAAATTTGAAAGGACATGAGCATATAATGTGCTATAAACAATGCTGAAAGAAGATATTCCAGCTGTTAATTTGAAAAGGGAAAAATGGGCTTTATTATCAAGGTAATCTCTCAAAAGTGAGACAAATACAGCACCAGAGTACAGATGCAGTCTTGTAGTCCAGGCCATATGCACCACAACCTGTTCCTGAGCAGATCTGACTGCAAATATGAGCTCTAAGTTATAGTAAGAGTAAGGGTTTGTCACAGAACAACCTGTTTACGTGGGTAGGCTTGATGTGACTTTGTGTTTCTAAGAGGCCTGCCATTGAGGAAGCCAAGACTGCACGGTGCAGAGGCAAATTGCTGTAGCTACCTATAGATCCTGCTGCGTGGTGCTGTGCTAGGTGCCATCAGTACTCCTATATTACAGGCTGATAAGCGCTTAAAGGGCTAAGCTCTGGTCGACCTCTTAATGTTGGGCAATCTTGGAATCATTCTATTTTACAGAAGTAACATTTCCAGATAGAAAAAAGATGTCACAAAGAACTTTGATCATCTGTGTGAGGACAGCTGTTGTCTCAGGGAGTCCTTCCCTTTCCTTGCAACTGCTGACATCTCCATATCTCAGAGCAGCCACTAAAGAAAAATGTAATTAAGACTTGTGAAGAAGAAAAAGCTGCCACTGGTTTTACTGTCTTTTTTTGGCAAAGAACTTTGATCATCTGTGTGAGGACAGCTGTTGTCTCAGGGAGTCCTTCCCTTTCCTTGCAACTGCTGACATCTCCATATCTCAGAGCAGCCACTAAAGAAAAATGTAATTAAGACTTGTGAAGAAGAAAAAGCTGCCACTGGTTTTACTGTCTTGTTTAGGTGGGCAGAGTGCATCTGGTATGTTACTTTTAATTCTGAATTTCATTATTATTACGGCTTCTGGTTACAGTCATAGCAATTGAATTCTTTTTTCACATCTTGCACAATTAGTGCTGACAAGAGGTAGACAAATTATTGCAAATCAAGCTGTTAGAGTTGCTAAATGTAGTTGTTAGTGTGAGGTTACATTCTAGTTCACCACCAAAAAAAAAAAAATGTTAAAGGGAAGCACGAAGCACCGCTCAAAGGAGTCTCTTACTGTTTGGAATGGTTGGATGATGAATATACAGGTTTGTAACGTCATGCTGTGTTTGAATTATGGAAATACCAAATGCATCTCAGAAATCCAGAATACCTTGCCTGACATCCTGTATCTGCTACTCTGGGCTTTTAATGATGTTGGCCTAAGATAAGAATTACTAGTAAGAGACCTAAAGAAACTAGAATCAAGCCTCCTTTTCATTCTTCTGGCAGTTTTCTATGACAAAAGTAGTGCATTTGCACCCGATGGCCATCGGACTAGCTTTTCTCATTGGTATGGTTTGCTGCTGCTGCTGCTTTATTCCAGGTATGGAAACTTTCATTTATAGTGGCTTCCAGGAATGTTTTAGAACCTCTTAGAAAGAAGGGTCAAGAAGGAGCTATACCCTATGCTATTTTTTGTAACTTGTGCAGAACAGGGGCAAATACATTGGCGTTATAATTGATTTGTTAATCAGATAGAAAGGAAATACTCATTCTTCAGAGTTTTCAGCCTTTTTAGTCGTAAAATATTGGTTTACTTTTGAAGAACTGCAGATCTATACAAAGTATGGAAACAAGTGACTCTGTTGTTCTAGGGAACATAGATATTCATAGTCCATATTTTACAAGAGAAATGTTGCAATGAGCAGCAGCCCTTCTGCATGCAAATCACACCATGGTAGTGATTCTTGACCATCCTATATTTCTCTCAAGTGACTGACCTGAAAGATAAGTAATTTGTGAGAAGCTATTTTCCTGTCAGCTTGCAGCCTCTAGCTTCTGTAAATCATCTCGTGCTTCCTGTGAATTGTGCTTTGAAAATTACTTTTGCTCCTTCCAATTTATTTTATTGAACTCTGATGGCATGTTATGCATGCACTATGCCTGTATTCGTGCACTTCTGAGGTGTTTGTGAGGCACTGCACTGCCAGCCAGATGGAGCAGCCCTCAAACCTGGAGGGAACGAACCCATCCTAAGTTTATATCCCAGCTCTGAAGCTTCTAGAACAAGTCAGTTACTGTCTTTATATGCCAGTTCATGTTTTTCTGAGGATATACATGAACATGGACAAAGGACACTGGTTATTCCATATCCTTTTCCCAAACCAAAGGAGGTTTGCTTTGTATAAGGAGCAAACATAGATGCATAGAAAATACCACCTGCAGTTAATATACTACATGTTATTTTTTTGCTGTAAATCATCCAGATGCAGAAAGGGGTGATTGTATATGCTCTTCCTGCTGGCAATAGGCTAACAGCTTCCAGCTCCTCCTGCAGATGGGGACAAGTCTCCAGGCTTGTCATTAACCTCCAGTACTTGTGCACTCTAAAAGTTCGGCCCTTTTTTCTTCCTCTTCCCTCTGGAAATAGAACATCCCTGAGTGTTTTTCCCCCAGCAGCACGGACACCTGCCTGTGTGGGCTTCAGAGGTGACACAGAGCTGAACCCTTGGATGAGACACCTTGGCCCCCAGCAGGACCAGTGTTCAGTAGCAGACCTTGTACTTGGGAAGAAGCTGGATTTTGATCCTCCCTAAGCTCTGACAAACTTCGTCTTCTTCCAAACACCTGATGCAAAGGGTGGTGATGAGGGATGCGGGCAGCTCGTGCAGGAGGCAGGGATCCCCCCCCGGCCCCCGGCACGGGGGCTCGTCGCAGCGCGCTGGGCTGGGCGCTGCGCCCTGCCCGCAGGAGGCTGCCGAGCGCAGAGCCGTCCCTCTGCTTCGGAGGCCCACTTTAAACCCCGCGATGTGTCCCTGTGCAGGGCGTGCAGTGCCAGCCCGGGCCGGGCAGGCGGCAGCAGAGGCGCTGCCGGGAGCCCGCGGTGCCGCGGCCGTGCGTTCCCCTCCGCTCTCGCCCTCCCGCCGCTGCGGTGGAGCGGAGAGAGGACGAAAGGCCTGGGAACGCGGTCCTGCCCCGGGTGAGCGGCCGGTGCCAGGCTGCAGGAGCTCTGCTTGTTGTCAGTGTGCCCTGTTTCTGCGAGCAGAGTAACCACACGGTGGGCTCCTGGGGAGCGAGATGGCCAGGATGGTGAGGAGAGCTCGGGGAGGCGCAGGTGGTTTATGGATGGTTGGAAGGAGACTCGAGGCACCCCCTTGCCGTGCCTAACCGTGCGTGATGTCAATCGAGGCTGGGTAACGTCCTGCACCAAAAGCACTGGTTGGATTTTGCTGTTATTCCCGCCACTGCACACGAAGCCAACTGGTACGCTGGGGCGAGGGAAATGACAATTGAAGGGTTTTAAGCTCAGTAAAGTGCACCTTCAAATGGCAAAGGTCTCTACATGTTTAGTCCCTTTGAAAGCAATGGGAGTTCGAAGATGTTATTTGTGACTTTTGGGGGAAACTGTTTTGGTGTCTCTCTGCGTCTAAAAATATAAAAAATCTGACCACAGGTGTATAGCACTACAGCAAACATTGCTGGATTCAGTGAAGTCTCATGTGGTGAAACTTCAGTCATGGCATTGATGTCTTCATCCTATCTCAGCTTCATTTCTGGAAGTGGCTTGGCTTTTCTCCAGCAACACTTTGTTGAGAAATGCTGAGCAGATATGACATTCCTGAAGATGTATAGTTTCTCTTTTGATAGCAATAGGCACCTGATGAGGAATAAATTCAGCACCTCTGAATGTTATTCACTATGTGGACAATTGAGAGAAATTAAACAGCCTCTCCTCACTTGTGCTCTTTTGCCCCTTCGTGTGACTAAATCCTTCTGTCCAAAATTTGCCTGACATTTTCTTCTAATTTTGCCCACAACCGCTCAGCTTTTGCAGAGCAGACTGGCACACTGCAGTGGACAGATCCGTACTCTATCCTTACAGCTGAGCAAATCCAACTTATCTTCCCTTTGTGTGCTTCCAGTCTGGTTTCTCTGCAAGCTGTTTGCTGCATGGTCAACTTTGAGAACTTCTTTTTCTTTCCCTACTGCCATATTTCCAAGCTTAATGTACTGTTCAGTACTGGCTGGGCTGAAATCTGCTATTTGTATGTTGCTCTGCTCTCATATTCCTAACCTCAGAGAGGGTGCAGAAGTATGGGCCTCCCATGGACCTCTTCTTCCTGCTTGAACATGGGAGGCAGATGAAAACCAGTTTAATTCAGGGAAGGGTTTATTCTCTCAGGCTATTCCCTGTTATGGATAGCTAATGACTGTACTAGCAAGAGCTAATGAGTTCAGATATGTTCTTAACATAAGAACTAGGACCCTCTGGGCAGTCCAGTGTGTGCCCAAACCCCCTCTTCAATCTGTTGGCTACTGTGTGATGCATGAAGTTATGGCTTTTGGGCACCTTTTACTTTATAACAAAAAAGTGAGTGTGAGGGATTGCTTGTTTGTCTAAAATACGTTTTATCTCTTGGAGTCTATTGCCCCTGGGAAATGCCCTGTAAAACCAGGTGAGCAGTGAGGGAAGGGCAAAGCACTTAACCAGTGCCAAATGAGAAATATGGAGCCAATCTGCTTGTTTCTGCTCTTGGCCCGTTTGATTGCCATTCCCTGGCATTTTGGCGGAGCATCTGCCAACACTCTGTGGCTGTGTGGGATCAGAAGGGATGGCATGAGGTGAATTTGACTCTGAACTGCCTTTGTGTCCATCTTAAACATCTCAGGGAGATGGGACTGACCTGAGTCTGAAATCAGAGCAATCAGAATACTGCTGCTACCTGAAATAGCCGGAGATTGTTAGAAAAATGGGCAGAGTGCAATGCGCTCTCACCAGCTCCTTCTCAGTCCAACATGCTGGTCACTGGAGAGGGCTTGCTCAGAAGTTGTCTTTATGCTTCTTGACTCTTTCCTCTCTGTTAGCACTTGAGGTGATCCCTCTTCTGCAACTTCGGTGCTGCAGAGCGCTCTCTGTGGG